ACTGTCCTCACATTTTACGTTTTTGCCCTATCTTGTCACCATGGTGAAGAGAAGCAGTTGTGAAATGAGTGACACGGTTGTTAAGAATCCTACAATGGGCATAAATGATGACCAGTCATAAGTGCGAAGACCGGTCAAAAGTGCGAGGACCTGTCAGAAATCACTTTTTTCAGCCCTCTGGGTAGTCCTTTTGTGCATATGGACTACTCAGAGGGCTGAAAAAGTTATTTTTGACTGGTCCTCACACTTTTGACCAGTCCTTGAACTTACGACTGTCCTCACATTTTACATTTTTGCCCTATCTTGTCACCATGATGAAGAGAAGCAGTTGTGAAATGAGTGACACAGTTGTTAAGAATGCCGCGACGGGCATAAATGTGAGGATGGTCATAAGTGCGAGGACTGGTCAAAAGTGCGAGGACCAGTCAGAAATGACTTTTTTCAGCCCTCTGTAGTCCCTATGCAGATAGCCACGCTCACCCAGTCACATGACCAGCTAGCCATGCCCACCCGGTCACATGACCACCAAGCCACACCCCCAACTAAGCCACGCCCACAGAACCGGTTGTTAAAAAAATTGAATCCCACCACTGGACCTTACAATACTAAAATAGGATGTAAAGTGAAATTTGGATTTATTTTCTCTCTTTTAAAATGATGTTCAGGTTTATTCGCTTTTAACATTCCTAAACTGGTAAACAAGCTGGAGACTAGCTTCAGATAAGAAAAAGTTTGTTAGTACAAACTGGGGTCTGGTTTATCTCTTTTGGGAACTCCAAACTGAGGCAGAAGAAAAAGAAGGTTATAAAAGATTGCTTTTCAGGCAATAAAAGGTGTGAAGGAAATGGAAAATGTTAGGATATGGTTTGAGCCTAACAAGTTGTCCAGGCAATATATGTGTACTGTAACTTTAATAAGAAATGTATTATGTGACTTTAAGGTTTTCTTGCTGATTCACTGTAATGCTGAGTCATGCTGTAATTAGGTAATGACTGGTTGTGAGAGTATTTAAGCGAGGTACTGCAACGTGTTCAGCTGATGATGTGATATTCTTCCATTGTGTGTGGAGCTGATGTGATATGCTACCAGAGTATGATATGCTGCCATAGTGAGGAATTGCTAACATTCTGCTAATCATCAGTTGGATGGATCTGCTACCATTGTGGTTGGTGAACCAGAGTGAGTTTGTTATTCTAACCAACTACTGTTTGTTTGGTAAGAAGATATCGGTAACTACTGGACTGATTTAACTGGCAAAGACTTGGAATTGTCAAACCTCAAGTCCACAGTTATTCGAACATTAAGGTATCCACGAACCAACTGCTGGAAACTTAGGTACTTCCTGCAAGACACCTGTGACCTCATTCTGTATGAAGAGGGAGTTCCGATGTTGCTATGGCTCTATTGCTCTGAACCTTCTGTGCAAATATTTATTTATTTATTTATTTATTTATTTATTTATTTATTTATTTATTTATTTATTTATTTATTTATTTATTTATTTATTTATTTATTTATTTATTTAAATTTGTATACCGCCCTTCTCCTAGTGGACTCAGGGCGGTGAACAGTCAGAATTAAAACACATGCCAATACAAAATTTAAAATTATTAAAAAAAATTACATAACTGGCCCAATTTAAAACAATTCAATTAAAACCCAATGACAATTTAAAAACTAAAAAACTAAAAAAGACCAAAAAAAGGGGGGAGGGGGTTCACGCCAGCCCTGCTTGATGGAAAAGAAAAGTTTTCAGGGCACGGCGAAAGACCCGGAGATCTGATATCCTTCGTATCTCCGGGGGCAAATCGTTCCAGAGGGCAGGAGCTGCCACAGAGAAGGCCCTCCCCCTGGGGGGTCGCCAGCCGACGTTGCCTGGCTGACGGCACCCTGAGGAGTCCCTCTCTGTGGGCGCGTACTGGTCGGTGGGAGGCTATCGGCGGCAGAAGGCTGTCCTGCAAATAAATACAACTCCTTTTGATTCCGAGGTCTGAGTCTCATTATTCCTGCAACACTTTTGTCATAGTTAAAAAAAACTTTTACTACTCTTTCAGGAAGAAATGCATTCACTGTGTTGTTGTAGGAAAAGACGGGACCAGACCAAGCTCTTCAATGCAGGAAAGGTTTATTATGCATAAGGTTCAAACAGCAGTTAACACAGCAAATTGTCTGAACCCCGAAGGGTGTACGGAGGTGTTGCTTTTATACTCTAAAATACGCATACATTGTCTAGGTTGCATTAAGACATATTTGGTCTTAGAGGAAACGAAAGATGCCTAGTCCAGACATTTGGTAATAGATAACAGTAAAAAAGGAAATCACATGAATATATTGGGGGATAATTATACATATCACATGTTATACATGACATTTAGGGTGAAATGCAGAAGTAAGCAACAGGATGCATCTGTCTGGGTCAGTCTGCTCTTTTAAGATAAAAATACCCTTTGTCATCTCAGCAACTCCTTACTGGCATAAAGAGAAATATTTAACCTTGAGCGAAGTTTCAGGCCTTAGTATTAAGGCTTTGGGGTTTTGACCAAAGAATATGCATGTACCCTTAATCTAATCCTCTTCAGTGTTACAGAAAAGAGACCACACCAGCTCTTTATCGAAAGGGAAGGTTTATTGCGCAAGGTTCACCCGAGGGGTTGTTACATACAGGCTTATATACTCTTTTCAGTCAGGATATACATTCAGGATGTATGCCTGATTACCATATATGGGTATGACGTGCCCACTTCCTTGGTCCTGCCCGGGTAGCCCAGCTAAGGTGAGATGTCTTGTATCACATATACAACGAGCGGGGGCTTAATCCCATTAGTCCTCTCATTCAACAATGTCACGTAGGCAGTGGTGGGATTCAATTTTTTTTTACAACTGGTTCTGTGGGCGTGGCTTATTTGGGTGGGTGTGGCTTGGTGGCCATGTGACCGAGTGGATACGGCTATGTGTATAGGGACTACTCAGGGGGCTGAAAAAAATCATTTCTGACCAGTCCTCACACTTTTGACTGGTCCTCGCACTTATGACCGGTCATCATTTATGCCCATTGCAGCATTCTTAACAACCATGTTATTCATTTTACAACTACTTCTCTTCACCATGGTGACAAGATAGGACGCAAAATATAAAATGTGAGGACAGTCATAAGTGCGAGGACTGGTCAAAAGTGCGAGGACCGGTCAAAAATAACTTTTTCAACCCTCTGAGTAGTCCATATGCACAAAAGGACTACCCAGAGGGCTGAAAAAAGTGATTTCTGACAGTTCCTCGCACTTTTGACCGTTCCTCGCATTTATGACTGGTCATCATTTATGCCCATTGCATTATTCTTAACAACTGGGTCACTCATTTCACAACTGCTTCTCTTCACCATGGTGACAAGATAGGGTGAAAAATGTAAAATGTGAGGACAGTCGTAAGTGCGAGGACTGGTCAAAAGTGCGAGGACTGGTCAAAAATAACTTTTTCAGCCCTCTGAGTAGTCCATATGCACAAAAGGACTACCCAGAGGGCTGAAAAAAGTGATTTCTGACAGTTCCTCGCACCTTTGACCAGTCCTCGCACTTATGACCGGTCATCATTTATGCCCATTGCAGCATTCTTAACAACTGTGTTACTCATTTCACAACTGCTTCTCTTCACCATGGTGACAAGATAGGGTGAAAAATGTAAAACGTGAGGACAGTCGTAAGTGCAAGGAGTGGTCAAAAGTGCGAGGACCGGTCAAAAATAACTTTTTCAGCCCTCTGAGTAGTCCATATGCACAAAAGGACTATCCAGAGGGCTGAAAAAAGTGATTTCTGACAGTTCCTCGCACCTTTGACCAGGCCTCGCACTTATGACTGGTCATCATTTATGCCCATTGCAGCATTCTTAACAACTGTGTTACTCATTTCACAACTGTGGTGCTTCATGTGACCGGGTGGCCGTGGCCAGGTGGTCATGTGGCATCGCTTCTTTGCCCTAATAACAGTTTGCTGCAATGGTCATAAGTGTGAAAAACGGTCATAAGTCACTTTTTCCGGTGCCATTGCAACTGTTGTAAGTCAAGGATTACCTGTACAAAAATACAAAAAGCTTCTTTGCTTACAAAAAACTGCCCTAAATAGCAATCATTAGATCAGAAATACCTGCAAAGTGGAGTTACAAAACAGGGAGGGTGCCAGAGCACTTTGAGGAATTAAAATTGGTAGTACGGTGGTCTAAAGCACTCTGTTATTAAGACCAGCTGCCTGCAATTACTGCAGGTTCGAATCTCGCCAAGGCTCAAGGTTGACTCAGCTTTCCATCCTTTCTAAAGTAGGTAAATTGAGGGCCCAGTTGTGGGGGCAATAAGCTGACTTTGTATAAATATACAAAAAGGATGAAGGCTATTGCTGAGCACATTGTAAGCCACCCTGAGTCTCCGGAGAAGGGCGGCATATAAATCAAATTAAAAAAAAAAAAGCTTCTGTTTCATTATTCAATTATTTCTTCAGTGCGGATCATTGCACCCTGGCTGGGAGAACTCCAACAAGGGAGTCTTTCCTCCCCAAAAGCGGTGTAAAAAGTTTAAAACAACCCTTCCCCTCAGTGGTGGGATTCAAGTAATTTAACAACCGGTTCTCTCCCCTAATGATTTCTTCCAACAACCAGTTTGCCAAACTGTTCAGAAAGTTAACAACCGGTTCTCCCGAATTGGTGCAAACTTTATCTTTATCTTTATTCAAATTTCTATACCGCCCTTCTCCTTTCGGACTCAGGGCGGTGAACAGCCAAAAAATAAAACATTTTATATACAAAAGTTAAAATAAATTTAAAATAATTAAATAAATTTGGCCCATTAATTTAAAACATTCCAGTTAAAACCATATCAAAATTATTTAAAACCAATCATAAAATCAGGACAGCCTGGCTAACTGAAAAAAATAGGTTTTGAGGGCCCGACAAAAAGTCTGGGATCACTCGTATCTCTGGGGGTAGATTGTTCCAGAGGGTGGGTGCTACCACAGAGAAGGCTCTCCCCCTGGGGGTCGCCAGCCGACATTGCCTGGCCGACGGCACCCTGAGGAGGCCCTCTCTGTGGGAGCGAACTGGCCGGTGGGAGGCAATTGGTGGCAGGAGGCGGTCCCGTAGAACTGGCTGAATCCCACCACTGCTTCCCCTTTAAGAAAGTCAAACAAACAAACAAAAAAATCCCTCTGAGAACCTCCGGACCGGAAGCGACAGTAAATCTACGCATACTGCTGCGGGAGAGGCAGTTTCTGTAAGCTGGGCAATAAAGGTTAGTCTAGGAAACAACAACGAATGTTGTAATTCCTTACAGGAAAGTGGAAAAAAACGAAAGGAGATTTCTTTTAACAACCCGTTCACCGAACTGCTTCACTACTTAACAACCAGGTTCTACCAGTGGTAGAATCCCACCACTGCACGTAGGCATTGAGAGCGGGGACTTACTCCCCTTAGTCCTCTCATTCAACAAGGTCTGGTAGGCATTGTTCCACGTTAACTGCCCCGTTTCCCATCCCCCTTAACCGGCATGCGTGAGACAAAGAGGGAGGAATGAAAAGTGAAGGTAAGAAATCTGTTATTCGTGCAAAATTTTGTTTTGAAATTTGTCTGTGCGTCTGTCATTCTTCGTTTTTGCTAACTCCCTGGTTACAACACAGTAGCTGAGATCTTTTCTGAAGGCATTGCTGTTTGCTGTTCTCCCTTTTCTGAAGTGAGGAAACATCTGCATTATGTTTGTGGGTGATGGCTTTGGAGATTTTTTTTCTACACCTTGGTAAACGTCTGAGTGCGATTTCTTTCTTTCTTTCTTTCTTTCTTTCTTTCTTTCTTTCTTTCTTTCTTTCTTTCTTTCTTTCTTTCTTTCTTTCTTTCTTTCTTTCTTTCTTTCTTTCTTTCTTTCTGCCAAAAACTCCAGGGATGTCCTCATTCAAGCACATTCAAGGGAATGCAAATCTCATTCTGCCTTTGAAATTGTATCTGAATAGGAAAGGGAGGGTTTTTTTTACCAGTTTATTTATGTTCTTTTAACCATTTCTTCCCCTGCTTACAACTTTTGCCTGAGAAGGGAGGGGCACTGTGGCATCGGATCTCTTCTTTCCCTCAAAATACATTTTAAAAAAAAGTACTACAAGACATGAGCAATAGCTGGAATTAATCAGGGAGAAAACCAATCTAGGACTAAGGAACAATCCTAGGAAATTTTATTTACAGCATGTGTTTTTGGAACTCCTTGCTACTGCAGAAGAGATGATTAATTAATTTATACCAGGGGTGAAATCCAATTTTTTTTACTACCGGTTCTGTGGACGTGGCTTGGTGGCCATGGCTTGGTGGGCGTGACAGGGGAAAGATACTGCAAAATCTCCATTCCCTCCCCACTCTGGGGCCAGCCAGAGGTGGTCTTTCTTTCTTTCTTTCTTTCTTTCTTTCTTTCTTTCTTTCTTTCTTTCTTTCTTTCTTTCTTTCTTTCTTTCTCTTTCTTCCTTCCTTCCTTCCTTCCGTCCTTCCTTCCTTCCTGCCTGCCTGCCTGTCTGCCTTCTTTCTTTCTTTCTTTCTTTCTTTCTTTCTTTCTTTCTTTCTTTCTTTCTTTCTTTCTTTTATTAGATTTATATACCGCCCTACTCCTGAAGGACTCAGGGCGATGAACAGGCACAAAATAAAATACATAGATACAAAAGTTAAAAGATATAATTAAAACCAGATTAAATAATTTAGCCCGAGACAATTTAAAAAATCCCAATAATTTAAAACAGATTAAAATTTCGATTTAAAAGGATCTTATTTGCCGGTTCTCCGAACTACTCAAAATTTCCGCTACCGGTTCTCCAGAACCTGTCAGTTTGAAAAGTATATAAGTGCTTCTTTTTCCATAAGAGGGGGTTCAGATGTGGCTACGGCTATATTGCTCTGAACCTTTTGCGCAAATAAATACAACTCCTTTTGATTCCGAGGTGAGTCTCAGTATTCCTGCAACATTAGGAAATTTTATTTACAGTATGTGTTTTGGGAACTCCTTGCTACTGCAGAAGAGATGATTAATTACTGTGTGCTCTGTGTGCTCAATTTGTTTTTCTTTTCCTGGGAGCCAAGGAGGGGAAGGGAAATCTTTTACAGTGAACCAAATTGGACTTGTGTTTATGGCCACAGGCTACAAAGCTGGAGAACTGTGAATTCAAATCCTGCTTTGGCCATGAGGGCCAGCTGAGTGATTTTGGGCTGGTTATTTTTCCCCCCTTCAGCCCTAGGAGGGGGAGGCATTGGGAAACTGAGGCAGGAGGGTAAAATTGCTACAAAAGTATTATAAATGCATAAGCAGAATTAGCAGAAGTTGCTTTGCTTATATGTATGTTGCAAGGTTTAGGAAAGAACAGATGTACTTGTACCCTTAATGACTTATTTACGGGACTGCCTTCTGCCACCAACAGCCTCCCACCGACCAGTCCGCTCCCACAGAGAGGGACTCCTCAGGGTACCGTCGGCCAAGTTATGTCGGCTGGCAATACCCAGGAGGAGAACCTTCTCTGTCGGAGCTCCTGCCCTTTGGAATGAATTGCCCCCGGATATTCGTAACATCTCTGACCTCCGGGTCTTTCGCTGTGCCCTCAAGACCCTACTGTTCCAACAGGCGGGGCTGTCTAACTGAATGATTTTAAATTGGGTTTTAATATTGGGTTTTTAAAATTTGGCCAAAACTATTTAATGATTTTAATTAATTTTAACTATGATATTGTATATTTATGTTTTTAATCTTGGCTGTACACCACCCTGAGACCTTCAGGAGAAGGGCGGTATATAAATAAAATTATTATTATTATTATTATTATTATTATTATTATTATTATTATTATTATTATTATTATTATTATTATTATTATTATTTAATCTTTAGTGAGATTCACAGCCTTTGAGTCTAGTTAATAGCTCAGCAGCTCGAGTCCTAACCAAGGACCTAGGAACTGTTAAGGTATCGTCGGAGGATGTAAGCTGTTCCAAGTAAGGTGGTTTTTTGTAGAGTCAAAATGTTCAAGTCCGGCAAATTTAGGATTTCTAAATAGCGGGGTAGCCCTTTGGGTATTGCTCCAAGGGCTCCAATTACAATTGGGACAACACACGATTTCTTTTTCCACAGTCGCTCAACTTCAATTTGCAAGTCCCTGTACTACTACTACTACTACTACTACTACTACTACTACTACTACTACTTATAATAATTATTATTATTATTCTTATTGTTATTATTGTTATTATTATCATTCTTATTCTTATTCTTATTCCTGTAACGAAGATATTGCAAGGAAGGTCCACTGAAAGTAACAGATGGTGTAAGATAATACCTTATATGGAATATGTGTCAGATAACTTCTCCTTTTTTATGTTATGCTGGGGTGTAGCTAGACAAGTGTAACAAAGTGGTAACCCAAAAGGGGAAGCTGAGGTTGCAAAATGTATAAAAGGCAAACCTTGGGCATAGCCCAGGGTTCAGAATCTGCCATGCTAATGCTCTGAACCTTTGCGCAAATAAACCTGTGTTCTCCAACCTCTGTGGTCTTGTCTCCTGAATCGGTAATAAGAGTTTCCTGCAACAAAACCACATCTCTATCTGTAGGCCCCCACCTAGGCAGTTGTTTGCAACATGAATTCCCTAACATAGGTTGCAAATGTCCTCTCTAGGACCTTCCACTCACTCTCCTTAACCTCTAGAGCTGTGATGGTGAACCTATGGCACGTGTAGCCAAATTGGTGGGCATGTGAGCTCAGCTCCGGCACACCGGCCAGCTGATTTTTGGGCCTTCTGGGCCCACCAGAAGTAGGGAAACAGGCTTGTTTCCTGCCTCTGGAGGACCTTGGGGGGTGGTGAGGGGCCTGTTTTTCTCTCTCCCCAGCCTCCAGAGCCTTTCTAGGAGTCTGGGGAGGGCAAAAACAGCCTTCCCAATCCCCCAGAGGCCCTCTGGAAGCCAGAAATGGCCCATTTGCCAACTTCTGGTCCCATGCATGCACACAAAACACCACCACCACCACCACCATCCCCGCTCCTGGCACGTGATCCAAAAAGGTTAGCTATCACTGCCCTAGAGCTCATCGGAAAAATGTTTCATTGCATGCGGATGAGTGTTGTTTCAATGGTTAAATCTACACCTTCTAATTCTTGGAATTGATTTTCTTTTCAATTTCAGATACACAAAGTGGAGTCATTTGAACTTCTTGGCATACAAAAATTATCTCTTGGGAAAGAGCTGAAAGGCTTTCTGGCGTCTTTCCAGCGTGTACAGGATCGATCATATGAATTAAAAGGCATTTGGAGATCCACAAGATTCCTTGGATCCATTTGGAGTTGCAGTTTCAGGACAGGGAAAGAATGGAAACACAACCTTTAGCCACTGAGAGAACTGGAAAAGGCCCTTCTGCTGTTCAGCCTGAGACCTGTGGGGAGATCTGGGCAAGAACTAGGCAGAAGATCCTGGAGGAGGAAACCATCATCTGTTCAGAAGTTCAGCCCTGGAACTTCAGGAGCTTCCAATACCGGGAGGCTGAGGGTCCCCGAGGACTTTGCAGCCGACTCCATGACTTTTGTAGGCGATGGCTGAGACCAGAAAAGCACACCAAAGCCCAGATGCTGGACCTGGTGGTTCTGGAGCGGCTCCTGTCCCTTCTGCCCCCAGAGATGAAGGGCTGGGTGCGGGAGTGTGGAGCAGAGACCAGCTCCCAGGCGGTGGCCCTGGCTGAAGGCTTCCTCCTGAGCCAGGTGAAGGAGCAGAAGGAGCAGGTTGAGTTGCAGGTGAGAAACCTTCATCTGGATAAGAACCCAGAAGGGAATTTAAAAAAATGTGTTTGAATTTTTCACCCCTCCTTCGCAGACTTTTCTGGCATTCATAATATGTGGAGATGTGCGGTCTGTCAGGTTTCGAGGTCGTCTCAAATAAATTGCATTTCAACCAAAGTCTTTGATGAAAAACTCTCATTTATTAAGCACGACATTCTAACTCTGACTCCATCGTAGGCAACACTGACTTCCTGACCCAAACCCCTCCCTTTCCTTTCCCCACTCCTCTGCACTCATTGGCCATCTTCCAAGTCACTCTACCCCAATCTACTGCTCCAGCTCAAAGGAATTTCCCCCCTCCCATCCCATCTCCTAGGGGATATTATCTCCAGGGAAAATAAGTAGGTGAAAAGTCAAACGTCCCTTTCCAGACGCCTCCGCTTCTCCTTCTTATGTCAGCACTAGAGTAAATGCAGCTTGAAGTGCTGACACGGACATTGTACAATTCATTTTTTACTCAGCCTCACTGATGGATATTGGGGATTTTCAGGTTGTGCTCAGAGAACAAGGGTCCACTTCATCTTGTGTGATGTCCATTAATTCTTCTTCTCTCTTGTCTCTTATTTCAAGTCCTTTGCTGTGGAGATCAGAGATCCTGAGGGAAGGAAGAATCCATCAAATCCCTTCCAGGAGACATTTCTCAGGAGGATCTCTCAGGAAGATCCAAGTCAGGATACCTCAGGAGGTAACTGAAGGTCCTCCCATTCTCCAGAGAAATCCCCACTATCTCCTGTTCTGTAGAATAGCTTGTCCTATTTTGTTAATTGTCAGATGTAAATGCCTTATTCCCTAATGTGTAAATAATGTATATATGGGATATCAGGGGTTAACTTATTCTTTGTTTCTTAATGTATTCATAATTCACCACTCCCACTCTTGGCTCCACCCTTTGTATATATAAGGAGCCACCTTCGCCATTTTTCCTCGCTTCTATCTGTGAATATTCAGTGAATATAGAATGCCTACTATAATTAAAGAGAACTATATTTGAACCTCTAATTCTAATTATTATTATTGAGTCTGATCCTAAAAATATTGCAACATTAATTTTGCATGTTAAAATTCTGTCTCCCTCGCAGTGAAGAATAGAATGAAGATAACGCCTGCTTATGATGGAACTGAAACAATCGTTGAACCTACAACTCAAGTAAGAGAAAGATAATAAAAAATAAGGCCATTACAGTGTTAGCATCTGTTAAGCAGAGAGTGTTCCTTTTAGTAATTCTTTGATATTAAATTATGTAAGTCTTCTCAATAATAACTGAAATAATCACATTAACTCAATTTCATTGAGGGCCATATCAGCATTGTGTTTGTCCTCAGGGGGCTGGGGTGGGGAGTGGGGGTGTGGCCCGGCTGACTGGCCATGGCCTGGGGGTGTGGCCAATTCAACATCACTCACAAGGGGGGGACACCTGTGCGGGCCAGGCACAGTTGGGGAGGGAATCCATGGATCTGGAATTTCTGGTTTTTCTTTTGAAGACGGTTTGCTTCTCATCCAAGAAGCTTCTTCAGCTTTTCTTCTTCAGAGCTGAAAAAGCTTCTTGGATGAGAAGCAAAATGTCTTCGAAAGAAAAACCAGAAAGTCCAGTTACCTCTTGAAAAAGCACCTTTGGGACAACCATGACCTGGATGACTGAGAATCTCCATATATAAAAGGTAAAGCAGGTCATTAAATTTGAAAGAGGGTAGCCAGAAAGAGCATATGACAAATGCTCTTCCCGAGCAATTTTTGCTCTTTCTTTTCTCTTGTTAAGCCAGCGGTTTATACTGTTAGCAGTGGCTTCTTTGCAATCTGAGGAGAAGCAGAAATAGGGTTGCGTGTGTCTCTGGATATTGATGGCACCCAATTTAAATCCCTGGCTGCCTCTCGCAGCACTTTGATCGATAATGAAGAATGACTGTTTCTTCTGGGGACACCACAAGACTTTTACTTAAATGCTAAAAAGAATACTCCTCCCCCATTTTCTTCTTCAAACACAGGACGGGTTGAAGTCACTGATAGGTTTCTGAGGCCCATCTGCCAGTTGATTCTCTTCAGATGCTGAAAATCTGGACGTATGGATGGTTTGTAGGTAGCTGGATAGACAGACAGACAGACAGACAGGGATCCAGTAGAAAGTTGGGATTCCTTTTACCGAATGGCACTGAAAGTGCGTATCTGTGCTTGGGACAATTTAAACAATCGGACAGATCTTGGTAAATCCTCCTGGTCTTATTGTGTCGTTTTTCTTTGTTCAGGAGGGTCTTGTATCATTTGAGGAGGTGACTGTGTATTTCTCCAAGGAGGAGTGGTCACAGCTGGATCCAGACCAAAGAGCGCTGCATTGGGAAGTCATGCTGGAAAATCATAGAAACCTGGTCTCTCTAGGTAAGGGTTTGCTACGGTCCACCCACAAAATTTGGGAAGACAGTTTTAAATTAGATGAAATGAATTATTTCTTTTTTCTTTTTGTTATAAGTTTATTGAAGATATCTTGTCGGAATAAAAGCAATAAAAATTCTGAAAAAGAAATAAAGAAGACAGTGGAAGTGATGCATTAATAAGAAAAAAAAATAATGAAATTAAAAAAGGAAAGGGGGAGAAAAGACGAAGTAATAAAAAAGTTATAACTTATTCTCTCTAAGGTTAGATCATAGTTTTCTCCTTCACATAATTTATCCTTTCTAATCTTCAAACAACTTCATTTTTTTTTCTTTTTTCAGCAAAAAGTCCTTCAGGGGTTTTCCAATCACTAATCAATACAGATATTAGCCTTTCTCTAATCAAAAGAAGTCAATTTGGTCATCTTTGAGAATTCTGTCATTTTCGCCAACCATTCTACCACTATTGTAGAATGTATTGTATACCCTCCATCTTTGGTGGTAAAAATAGTCTCACTGTGATTATCACACTCAGAAAGAATCTCATGACTGTTTTCCAGCTTCCTGTTCCTTAGTCCCAACACAAAGTGTTCTGGTTTCAGTTGGATGTTGATCTTGAAAGTTCTCTGTATCATTGAATGTCTTTGAATCCAAAACGAGCCTTCTCCTTGTCCACATTTCCAGTATAAGTTTGAGTTACCTTTATACATTTTAGAACATTTTTCTGGTATCCTATACCAATGCTATACCTATATATATAAAAGTGAAAACCACTCACGCATTAATCACAAAATCTCCAGAACCATAAAGCCTACAAATTTGAAATTTGCCATGTATGTTCCTCTTGGCTTCTAGGTGCTCACTAAGAAAGGATTTTTCAAAATGACCATCTCCCCGTTTCATAAAGAAGGGGATAGGAGAAGTTCAATGGGGCCAGCCTGAGGGAGAGAAGGGGAGAGGAGAGGGTCTATGGGGCCAGCCTGAGGGAAAGAAGGGAGTAGGAGAGGAGAGGATTTATGGGGCCATCCTGAGGGAGAGAAGGGGATAGAGAAGAGAGGCTTCTGTGGGGCAAGCCTGAGGGAGAAAAGGGGAGAGGAGAGGAGCGGCTTCTGTGAGGCTAGCCTGAGGGAGAGAAGTGGAGAGGAGAGGCCGATCGTAACTACTCATTAATTTTCAAACTCTAAGTGTCGATTTATCAAGCCCGATCACATAGTCTAGTAGCGGAGGATGGGCATTCAGCTAGTCACTTTATAAAAGTTGCCCTTTAGATCATAACATCACGTACATTTCAGTGCTAACAATCACATGTTTTCCCACTGTTACATCTACATATTATGATACAACGTCTTTGCTCACTGTATCATACATTTTAAACCTATTTGTAGCTTTTAGGTGTTACATGTTTATTTTTTCTGTATCATTAAGATTCAAATTCTGTTTTATGTTGTTGAATACCATAGGTCCATTTTCCCCACCTTGAATCTGTCCGATAACAATATGAAAACCATATTGTAGGACAACTATACCCTTCTGCCATCAGCTGCTCTTGATTTCATTTGGTATTTCATTTGCCTTCTGCTTCTCTTCTGTAAGATGCTCCTTGTGCCAAGAGCCATGAAGTTATTTTGGAGCACAGTCTGGATTTATATCGGTTTCATGTTCTCAATTGGCACTTCTAACACCCTGGTTTTTAAAATATAGATTAATCCTAACTTAGAATAACAGAGTTGGAAGGACCTTGGAGGTCTCCTAGTCCAACCACCTGCTTAGACAGGATACCCTACACCACTTCAGACAAACGGTTATCCAATCTCTTCTTTAAAACTTCCAGTGTTGGCGCATTTACAACTTCTGGAGGCAAGTTGTTCCACTGATTAATTGTTCTCACTGCCAGGAAGTTTCTCCTTAGTTCTAGGTTGCTTCTCTCCTTGATTAGTTTCCCCCCATTGCTTTTTGTCCTGCCCTCAGGTGCTTTGGAGAATAGCTTGACTCCCTCTTCTTTGTAGCAGCTCCTGAGATACTGGAACAATGTTATCATGTCACCCCAGTCCTTCTTTTCATCAGAGTAGACATACCCAGTTCCAGCAACTGTTCTTTATGTTTTAGCCTCCAGTCCCCTAATCATCTTGGTTGCTCCTCTCTGCACTATTTCTAGAGTTCATTGTACTACAAATTTCGATGCCATCCAAATCTTAGGTCACGCTCTTCTAAGTCCAAGTCAAATTTTCAAAGGCCATCTCTGCGTCTAAGGAGATTGATGTAGTTTGTTTTTCATTATATTCAAACTTCCTACAGATTGCACTTTCCCCCTAATCTTGCTATTATTTTCATTTTTTTTTCTTTTCCTGTGAAGGTAATAATGGGGAAGAAGATGAAGATTCTGGGGAACTATTCCGAACAATTACTTCTGGAGACAGTATGGAGAACCCTAAAATTCAAATGGAAGTAGAAAGCTGTGAGAGAAATCAGTCAATTAATTGGAATCAGGAAAGGTCATCGTCTCTTCATGCTCCGATGCAAGATTTTGTTGCCCAACAAGGAAAAACAAATAAAAAATCTATTGGGAATAACATGAAACTATTCAGAGACAAATTAGATGTAGATAAACACGATCAAGCCGAAACCAAAGGAGAAGATTATATATGCAGAGACAATGGAAAAAATGACAAACAGACTTTATTTTTTCCTCATGAAAATGGGTCCGGTACATCTCAAAAAAGGACCTACACGGAGGAGAAGATATATAAATGCACGGAGTGTGGGAAAACCTTTATCAAGAACAATCAACTTACAAATCATAAAAGGATCCACACAGGAGAGAAGCCCTATCAATGCACGGAATGTGGAAAGAGTTTTATTCACAACAGACAACTTAGTTCACATAAAAGGATCCACAAACGGGACAAGCCTTACAAATGTACGGACTGTGAAAAGAGCTTCACCGAAAAGAGAAAACTTACTGTCCATAAAATAGTCCACACAGGGGAAAGGCCTTATAAATGCATGGAGTGTGGGAAGACCTTTACTCGGAAGGCTCACCTTAAGTCACATGAAATGATCCACACAGGAGAGAAGCCCTATAAATGTATGGAGTGTGGAAAGAGCTTCTCTCATAGTAATTCTCTTACTTCCCATTACTGGATCCATACAGGGGAGAAGCCGTATAAGTGCACAGAGTGTGGAAAGAGCTTCTGTGAAAATTCTTCTCTTACTGTTCATAAAAGGATCCACACAGGAGAGAGGCCCTATAAATGCACGGAATGTGGAAAGAGCTTCCCTAAGAGCAGTGAACTTGTTTCCCATAAAAAGATCCACACGGGGGAGAGGCCACACAAATGCATGGAGTGTGGAAAGAGCTTTACTAAGAACAGTCAACTTATTTACCATAGTAGTATCCATACAGGGGAGAAGCCCTATAAATGCATGGAGTGTGGAAAGAGCTTTACTAAGAACAGTCAACTTATTTACCATAGTAGGGTCCATACAGGAGAGAAGCCCTATAAATGTATGGAGTGTGGAAAGAGCTTCTCTCTTAGTAGTTCTCTTACTTCCCATTACTCGATCCATACAGGGGAGAAGCCATATAAGTGCACAGAGTGTGGAAAGAGCTTCTCTCAAAGTTCTTCTCTTAATCTTCATAAAAGGATCCACACAGGAGAGAAGCCCTATAAATGTATGGAATGTGGAAAGAGCTTTATTAAGAACAGTCAACTTATTTACCATAGTAGTATCCATAGAGGGGAGAAGCCCTAGAAATGCATGGAGTGTGGAAAGAGCTTTACTACGAACACTCTACTTATTTACCATAGTAGTATCCATACAGGGGAGAAGCCCCACAAATGCATGGAATGTGGAAAGTCCTTTTCTCAGGGCTCTTGTCTTAATTCCCATAACAAGATCCACACGGGAGAAGCCATATAAATCTGTGAAACATGGGGGCAGAGCCTCCTGCCGCTACTACCGGTTCGCCTGATCCAGGGCAAACTGGTAGCAACCCACTGATAGATCCAGTTGAATATGAATCCATATAAATTGTAGTTGTTGAAATTTAAGCATTTTCTATTTACACATATGAGCGCCCGTTACTTGTCCCAGCTTCTACCAACCTAGCAGTTCGAAAGCACGTAAAAAATGCAAGTAGAAAAATAGGGACCACCTTTGGTGGGAAGCTAACAGCATTCTGTGCACCTTTGGCATTGAGTCATGCCGGCCACATGACCATGGAGACGTCTTCGGACAGTGCTGGCTCTTCGGCTTTGAAACAGAGATGAACGGGAATGACTAGCACGTATGTGCAAGGGGAACCTTTACCTTTTTATTTACATAATGCTGAATTAGGAAAAGTTTTTTTAAAATCTGATCTTCACAAGTGGCAGCTCCAGAGAACTGAATTTACCAATTGAAACCAAATAATAGGTACGTGTTTTAATTTTGAAAAGTGGATTTTTACTGTCATTTGAAGGTCTTCAATGCTATTTCACATGAATAGGAGAAAATATTTTTTTCTTCACGTTTATCCCATTTTCCATCTGATCATGATAGAGAAGGCCCAAATCCCCCCAAAAGTGCTATAAATGTTTAATTTTTGAGAACAAGACATGGCTTAGCTAACAAAATGTCATTCCAGGCATATTATGGGACAAGGCATAAATCAGGAAAGACTTGGAGAAATTATAGCTAAATATGAATTGTCGATATAAGTTTTATGCTCAGGAGGTTATCTAATGAATAGATTAATTAAAACATTTTACATTTAAACTTTTTATATATAATTCTTGGGGTGAAGGGGGACCTTTATTTTCCATTATTTTCTGCACTTTTTTTTAACTTTGAAGAAAGTATTTCGGCATTATGTAGTTGTATTAGTTTTATTTGTACACTATAACCTTCAATAAAAGTATTGGGGGAAATGCTAATAAAGTCTATATTTCAGTCTCACTCTCTCTCTCTCTCACACACACACACACAGAGGTCCTAGCTGATCAATATATTCTAACTTACGGGACCGTCTTCTGCTACCGATAGCCTCCCACCGGCCAGTACACTCCCACAGAGAGGGACTCCTCAGGGTGCCGTCGGCCAGACAATGTCGGCTGGCGACCCCCAGGGGGAGGGCCTTCTCTGTGGCAGCACCTGCCCTCTGGAACAACCTGCCCCCGGAGATACATAGGATCCCCGATCTCCGGGCTTTTCACCGTGCCTTTAAAACTTTTTTATTTCATCAAGCTGGGCTGGCTTGACCCCCCCTTAGATATTTTTAGATATTTTTAATTGTAATTTGGTTTTAATAGGGGTGTTTTAAAATTTTATTGGGCCAATTCTTGTTTAATTTCTTTTAAATATTTTAAAATTTTGTATGTGATGTTTTTACTTGGCTGTTCACCGCCCTGAGTCCAGTAGGAGAAGGGCGGTATAAAAATCGAATTAAATAAATAAATAAATAAATAAATAAATAAATAAATAAATAAATAAATAAATAAATAAATAAATAAATAAAACACTCTCTTAACTTTAGCCTTTTTTGGCCTTTGGTACACCTATTGCTGCATTGAAATTAGCTAAGACTTTGAAGAAAGTATTTTCGCATTATGTAGTTGCATTAGTTTTATTTGTACACTATAATCTTCAATAAAATTATTGTGGGAAATGCTAATAAAGTCTATATTTCAGTCTCTCTCTCTCTCTCTCTCTCTCTCTCTCTCTCTCTCTCACACACACACACACACACACACACACAGGTCCTAGCTGATCAATATATTCTAAGACACTCTCTTAACTTTAGCCTTTTCTGGCCCTTGGTACACCTATTGCTGCATTGAAATTAGCTAAGAATTTTTGCATGAAGACAAATGGAAACAATGTTGCTTGATAAATCACCTTTAATGCTCGCTAAAAATGGAACCCCAAATGAAGACATGGGACAAGGCAATTATGCGAACAGGAAACCTGGGAAAACACAGATGTGCTTAAAATACATTTAGAGCTGGATGATTATGCTGAAGTATAAATATTTTGGCTTGAATCCATAAAGTAATGCATGAGAAAAAGGGAACTTAGAAGGGAGGGGGGCTGCTATGTTACTGGAAATAAGACAGTAAATGTGCTGATTGTCAACATTCCAGAAACAACCTCTCTCCAATTAAAAACTCTGAAGCAAGCATTTCTCAAAGTTCTTTTTTTTTTTTAATTGAAAAGTTTTATAGGAAATCTCTTTTTAATTGAGTAGGTTTACTGGCACATCTGGGAAAACCCGAATCTGAGATTTCCGGGTTTTCCCTCAGTAAATCAAAAGCCCCAAAACCATCCCCTTAATCATCAGTCGATCACATGCTCCAATCAGTATTCGTCCCATCTCGAGACAGCATTCCAACCACTCCTTCTCCAGATGCAGGATCATCCTGACCTTGACCGAAAGGAAGAATGGTATTTTGTCTAAAACCAATCTGTCTACAAAAATTCCCCCTCCTACTTTCCCACACAGGAGAAGGTGGCAGCGTGGAAGCTTCTGGCCTAATATGGCTTCCAAAGCTGACACTGATGATTGTTAAGTATGCCAATCTATTCATAAGCAAAGAGACCCCAGATAAGCAACACAATTAGGCAAGCCAAAACTTGACAAGATTAACTGATAAACACCTAGGATTTGCAGTTCCCCTTTTGCCTGTAGAGCCAGCCATGACCCCTATATGACCCCATATGAATCTGGCAACATCCATTAAAATATTAAAGGACATGTTATTCCACAAGAACAGGCATCTCAATCATACCCCGAACTATGTATAAAAGCCCACCTCTCTCAACCCCATTTTGTCAGCCACCCCAGAAACATGCTTTTGTTACTAAAGTTTCTGGCATCCAAATAAACAGAGACCTTTTTTCCTTGTGGCCAGTCTCTATTTCATTTCCAGTGTCTTTCTCCTCACTTGGAACCAGACTGGATTTTTCTTTTTTTATGTTTTAGCCTCCAGTTCCCTAATCATCTTGGTTGCTCTTCACTGCACTCTTTCTAGAGACTCATCATCTTTTTTTACATTGTGGCAGCCAAAACTGGAGGCCTTATAAAGTGGTATTAACATGTGATCTTGATTCCATCTCTGTTTATGAAGCCTATAACTATGTTGGGTTTTTTGGCAGTGGCAGCACACTGCTGGCTCATAAGAAACAAAACATCTTCCTTAAAAAAACAAACAATCTATTTGCCGTTGAAAAAGTATCTTTGAGTAAACTATTTGGATAAGTTGAATTTCTACCTCCATCTCTGCTATAATGGAAGAAAGACTAATCAAGCTTTGTCATGAAGAAAAACACCTTCTTTTGCTTTGGGGAAACAGCACTTGTTAAATACCTGCCTGTCTACATCCCACCCCCCACCCCGAATCCAGATCAACTGAAAACTGATAAATATACTCTTCAGAAGGAATTTTTATTATAGAGGTACATTTTGTTGTTAGTTGTGAAGTTGTGTCCAAGCCATCGTGACCCCATGGACAGTCTTCCTCCAGACCTTCCTGTCCTCTATCATCCTCTGGAGTCCATTTAGGCTCACATCTACTGCTTCAGTGACTCCATCTAGCCACCTCATTCTCTGTTGTCCCCTTCTTCTTTTGCCCTCCATCTTTCCTAGCATTAGGCTCTTCTCCAGCTAGTCCTTCCTTCTGATTAGGTGGCCACAATATTTGAGTAGAGATGCATTAGCCTTCTTCAAATTACAGTACCTTCAAAAATCTGCTGTTCATAATCAAGTGGAAGATTTTTTTTTGTTTTCATTGGTAATTTTACCTCTCTGGAGCTGCCAGTTATAAGTGTCTGACTCAAAACATTTTTCCTTTCTTAGCTCAATATATGCAATATGAAATATATAAACAAAACCACCTAGACTTTGTGTGAATTTTCAAATGTATGTTAATGGCAAAATTAGGTAATCACTCATCCTGAAGCTCCACCCAAGCTCCTGATGATTATATGATCTCTTCTGTATGAATACTTTTATGAGACATAAGGGAACTATTATGACTGAAGCTCTTTCCACACTTCACACATTTATGTGGCTTTTCCCTTGTATGGATTCTTTTATGTGAATTAAGTTGACTGCTATTAGTAAAGCCCTTTCCGCACTCCACACATTTATATGGCTTCTCCCCTGTGTGGATCCTTTTATGTTTAATAAATGATGAATTTTCACAGAAGCTCTTTCCACACTCCACGCATTTATAGGGTTTTCCCCCTGTATGGATCCTCCTATGGGAAGTGAGATGACTGCTATTAATAAAGCTCTTCCCACACTGCTCACATTTATATGGCCTCTCCCGTGTGGATCCTTTTATGGCAAGTAAGCCGATCGCTGAGAGTAAAGGTCTTTCCACATTCTTGGCATTTGGTAGTACAGGGGTTTAAGGCACCCTGTTATTAAGCTGGTTATTAAGACCAGCTGCCTGCAATTACTGCAGGGTTCGAATCTCGCCAAGGCTCAAGGTTGACTCAGCCTTCCATCCTTTCTAAGGTAGGTGAAATGAGGACCCAGTTTGTGGGGGCAATACGCTGACTTTGTATAAATAGTAATAATAAGCATCCACACCGATGTTCCACCTGTCTGGCCAATTGAACCATAGTTGTCGAGGTTCAGAGGCAGCTACACCTACCCTGTTCCTTAGCCCAGACAAGTAATTACCAAAATGCTGACTGGCTGGGTGTGTAGGAGAATAGAAGATCAGAAAACAGCAAGCAGAAGAGAACCACTGTATGGATTATAGATTAACAGAGTTGGAAGGAACCTTGTAGGTCATCTAGTCCAACACCCTGCCCAAGCAAGAGACCCTACACCATTTCTGACAAATAGTAGCCAATCTCTTCTTGAAAGTCTTCAGTGATGAAGCTCCCATAACTTCCAAAGGCAAGCTGTTCCTTTGCTTGATTGTTCTCATTGCCAGAAAATTTCTCCTTCTCCTTGATCAGTTTCCATCCATTATTCCTTGTCTGGCCTTCAGGTGCTTTGGAAAACAACTCGACCCCTTCCTCTCTGTGGCAGCCACTCAAATATTGGAACACTGATATCATGTCACCCCTGTTCCAGGGTGGGTTCTACTTACCTTTACTACTGGTTCGCAAAAGGATCGCACGACACTGACGCTGTACTCTCATACATTAAAACATACACAGACAATGTAACAGTGAATAAGCGCATCAGAGTTTACAGTAATCATAAACCCTGGATGTCAGCAGAGGTACAATCACTTCTGAGACCCTGAAACTCCACTGTCAAGGCAGAAAACGAAGACAAATACAATGAGGCCAGGGCAAACTTGAGGAGAGGCATTAAGGCAACTAAACAGAAATACAAACAAAAGGTAGAGAAGCAGTTGGCAGATAATAACTCAAGACAGGTGTGGTAGGGGCCACAACATCTAACCAACTATAAGGGCAATACGATGAAAATAGCCAACGCTGATGCCCTGCTGGCAGAGAAGCTGAATAGCTTCTTTGCCTGCTTTGAGGTTAAAAGACCTGTCTCTGTGGCTATATCCCAAAGGCCCTCTAACCTCCAGCCATTCACCTTGCATGAACATCAAGTGAGAGCTGTTCTGAAGGCCGTATATCCCAACAAAGCTGCAGGTCCAGATGGGGTGCTGGGGAAAGTGGTAAAAACTTGCTCTGACCAATTAACAGGAGTCCTGCAAGGATTTTTAACATCTCCCTGCAACTGGCTAGAGTTCCATCATGCTTGAAAGCAGCCACAATTATCCCAGTTCTGAAGAAAGCAGCCATAAACATCCTGAATGACTACTGACCCATTGCACTGACATCTATAGTGATGAAGTGCTTTGAGAGACTGATCCTACAACACGTCAGGTCCTGTCTTCCACCAAATTTCGATCAACACCAGTTTGCTTATAGAAGCAACAGGTTGACGGGACGCCATCACCACTGTTCTACATATTGCACTGAGATACCTTGACAAAGCTGGGAATTATGCCAGAATGCTTTTTATAGACTATAGCTCGGCCTTTAATACCATCTTACCAGGCATTCTCATTGAAAAGCTGACCTGAATTTCCCTCCCCTCACTTGTGACTGGATCAAAGACTTCCTGACGGATCATCCACAAACAGTACGCACTGAGTACTTTACATCTTTCACCCTGAAGCTCAGCACAGGCTCCCCTCAGGGCTGTGTGCTCAGCCCCTACCTGTACTTGCTGTATACACATGACTGCATATCCTCTGATCCATCCAACACCATAATAAAGTTTGCAGATGACACAATGGTGCTGTGCCTTAAAACTGGAAGGGACAAATCAGCATACAGGGAAGAAGTTCAGAAGCTATCCACATCGTGTTCAAAAAACAACCTACATCTAAACACTAGCAAGACAAAGGAGATGGTGCTGGATTTCCAGAAGCTGTTGTGACTCTGACACCTAAGCCCGTCTTATCGGAGGGAGAAGACTCCGAAGGTGAAGGAGAGGAGTTGGCCAGGCCTCCCTCTCCAGGACCCTCCTCTCTGGCAATGCCTCAGGTGTCTCCCGAAGGAGAAGAGATTGGCCAGGAGTCAGGTATCTCCGAACAGTCGCAGTCGGACAATGACAGAGATAAATCTTGGCTGGATCCACGCCAGCGTCGGAGAGACAAGCGCACGCAGCAGAAAAGGTGTGCCAGAGATTAAGCTGAGTCACTGGACCACACCCCACAGGGGATAAAAGGGGGTGAGGTGGCCATTCAGACTCTGTGACGGACAAAACTAAACAACTAGCGAGCCGCATTGTATCTCTGAAACTACGTTATCTGCCTGCCTTGGATTTAATACAGACTGGACTTGACAATTCTGTGGCTTTGTGTATTTGTTTTGGTTTATCTGACGGAGGAGGAACACCTCCCTCTGTGAGTAAAGTTCTTGGCAAGCAGCTACTGGGTTGCCGCCAATCCTGTTATCGAAGGAATTTATTGTCTGCAAGTTTTATTTAACCCCTGGCTGACTGTTTGTGTGCGTGTGTGAGACGGGGACAGAACAGAAGCAAAGAGAGGAACCTGCCCCACTGTATAACAAGGGGGGCCGTGTGGAGAGGGTCTCCTCTTTTAAATTCTTGGGAGTGCTCATTAGTCAAGACCTCACCTGGAAAAACAACATGTCCCTGGTGGATAGTAAGGCTCAACAGAGACTTCATTTCCATAGAATCCTGTGGAAAAATCAGGTGGAACAATGGCTGTATAACAATATGGTATACTGGTTTAACAGCTGTGGACAGGAAGGCACTACAGAAAGTGATTAATTTGGCACAAGAAACCATTGGTTTCCCCCCTAACACCACTGGATGACATTGCCAGGTCTTGCTGTTTCAGCAGAGTAAGGAAGATACTTAGGGATGATTCACAACCTGGCCAGTGTCTCTTTTCACTTTTACCATCAGGCAGAAGACACAGAAGTATAGGACAAACTGGTTTAAAAACAGCTTCTACCCATGAGCTGTTAGACTCCTAAACACAATATAGCACCACAAACAGATTAATATGATGAAGTTCACTGGTGCCAGTGTAGTATGTAATATGTATATACCATGATATAAAATCAAACACCAGAGTAATATACATGTTGCACAGAATATGATGTACATATGGAAATGTATGACTAATTTTTCCCTCTAACTACTTGTATAAAGATCCTTTATATCAGTGATGGCTAACTTTTTTGACATCGCATGCCAAAAGCTGGGGGAGTGCGGGGTAGTCACATGTGAGCGTGCCCACACCCATAATTCTAGGTGCCTGCCCCCCCCATGCATGCGCACGCGATCCCATGCTCCCCCCCCCACTTTTGGCATGTGATAGCATGGTGGGCACGGTAGGCCTGTTTTTTGCCCTCCCCAGGCTCCAGAGGCTTTCTAGGAGCCTGGGGAGGACGAAAACAGCCTTCCCCACCCCACCGGAGGCCTTCCAGAGGCCGGAAACAGCCCGTTTGCCAACTTCCAGTGGGCCCAGAAGGCCCAAAAATCAGCTGGCCAGCACGCACAGGTATGCTGGAGCTGAGCTTGGGCAACGCTCGCGTGCCCAACAATATGGTTCCGCGTGCCACCTATGGCACGTGTGCCATAGGTTCACCATCATGGCTTTATATTATTCATGTTGTCTTGTATTCTTGTATGGACTGCACCTGTAGAGGCTAAACCAATTTTGTTGTTTGCATGATGTACAATGACCATTAAGGCTTTGAACTTTATGAAGATATTGAAGAATACTGGTCCTAAGACTGAACCTTGTGGTACCCCACTGCTTACTTCCCTCCATGTAGACATAGACCCATTAAGGACTACTTGTTGAGTACGGTTTGTCAGCCAGTTATAAATCTATCTGGTGGTGATGCTAGCTATCCCACTTTTTTCTACCTCACCAAGAAATAAGTTGTGGTTTACTTTGTCAAATGCCTTGCTGAAGTCTAAGTATATTATGTCCACAGTATTTCGCTGATCTAATTTAGTCACTATTTTGAAGAATGAAATAAGATTGGTTTGGCATGGTCTGTTTTAACAAACCCATGCTGACTGCTAGTTATTACTTTACTCGTTTCTAGATGTTGGCAGATCTGTTTTTTTATTATCTTTTCCAGTATCTTCAGGAGTATTGATGTTAGGCTGATTGGTCTGTAGTTTCCGGGGTCTCTCTTTTTTTTTTTTTTGAAGATTGGAATCACATCAGCTCTTTTCCAGTCCTCTGGTAGTTCCCCGGTGCTCAAGGATTTTTGAAAGATGTGATATAGTGATTCTGAGATGACATCTGCTAGCTCCTTTAGAACTCTGGGATGTAATCTGTCAGGTCCCAGTGATTTGTATTCATTGAGATCAGACAGGTGTTCTCTTACTATATATATATATATATATATATATATATATATATATATATATATGTATGTATGTATGTATGTATGTATGTATGTATGTATGTATGTATGTATGTATGTATGTATATATATATATATATATATATATATATATATATATATATATATATATATATATATATATATATATATATATATATATATATATATATATATATATTTGCTTATTTTAATTTTTGTTTCTAGTCTGTCTTTTACAGGTTTTTTTTGGTAGGTTGGGCTATTGTTTCTTTTTGCATGAAGACCAATGCAAAGAATGAGTTAAGCAGCTCTGCTTTCCTTCTGTTGCCTGTTACTTCTTGCTGTTTTCTTTCGTTAGTGGACCGACTGCTTCCTTGATTTTTTTCTTGTTATTTATATATTGGAAGAAACTTTTTTTATTATCTTTGACTTTTGTTGCAAGTTTTTGTTCATTCTCAGCCTTTGCTTTCCTGACTTCATCTTTGCAGATTCTGGCTATCTGCTGATATTCTGCCTTAGTTGTGTCTCCCTCTTTCCATTTTTTGTACTTGTCCTTTTTCTCTTTCAATTTGTCAAAGAGATCTTTTTGCAGCCATACTAGTTTTTTCTTAGATTTCTTATTTTTCTTTGTCAGTGGTATTTTGATGGTCTGGGCTTTTTATGATCATATTTTTCAGTTTCCCAAGATTCTTGAGTTGTTTTCCCCTTTAGGATTTTCATCCAAGGAATCTTTCCCAAGTTCTCACTGAGTTTATTAAAATCAGCTCTTTTAAAATCTAAGACTCTGGTATCATTATGTTCTATTGCTTGTGTTTGTGTTATGTTGAATTCTAGTATGACATGGTCACTCTCACCCAAGGTTCCTGCAATTTCAACTCCCTCTATCACTTCTCTGTTTGTAAGAATTAAGTCTAGTATGGCTGTCCCTCTGGTTTCGTCCTTTACCGTTTGGACAACAAAGTTGTCAGCTAGGTTGGTTAGGAACTTACCGGTATTTGATTTCTCACTTGGTGCAGAATTAGTCTTCCAATTGATGTCAGGGTAATTGAAAGAAATTGAAGGAACTAACATATGTTTGTTACTTGGTTAGCAACTATTTCAGGCAGGCAAGAGAGATATCAGTCAACTGCCAGCATTGCAAGCTGCTGTGAGCAGTATATCCTGATGAAATTCTTGCCTGGAGCTGGGCCACAATTGGAAAAGCAACCACACTGAGATAACTCATCCCAACCAGTGGGAGAATTTTGGCTGAGCAAAGAATGCATGCCACTTTCAGGACTTTCAGCGTTTTCCTTGGATGGAGTATTCAAACATTGATTATTAAAGATCTATTTAGGTGGCAAAATCAACTTGCAAGGCTTAGGAAGGGGGAGCTAACTCAGAGCCATAATCAGCTGCTGGAGAATGCATGTGCACTGTGTACATTTTCATGTTTTAGTAGTTTTTAATACAAACAGGGGAAATAAAAATTTATACATCAAGTGAGTAATCAAACCATTGATATTTAGTTTTAAAACTAATTTAGACCTTTCCCTTTTTTCCCCTCAAAAAAGGGTTGGGAAGATCCTGGAAAAATAATCAAGCAACAGATCTGCAAACACCTAGGAGCAAGCAAAGATATAGCAAGAAGCCAACATGTGTTTGTCAAAACCCATGTTTTCTTAGACCATGGTCTGTATTACCTACATGAAGGGCCACTGGCAAGGAATGGATTGCACTTCACAAGAACTGGAAAGAATACATTCAGAAAACAACTGGCTCATCTTATCAAAAGGGCTTTAAACTAACATTGAGAGGGGAGGACGGCCAATCTTCATGACCTTTAGAACCTAATTCCAAACAAAAGCCACTAGATATCCAATCATATAAAGAGGTAAAGAGTAATGCGAAAGAAGAAAGAAAATAAGAAAAATTTAATGAAGTAGAGAGGATGGAAATCCCAGTTACAAAGTCGGAGACATAAGAAACATACCCAAGACCCATAAAGGCCTCAAATGCTATACAATTACACTCAAAGTTTAGGGAACAAACAAGGTGAACTTGAAATATTAATACATGAAGGTAGATATGATATAGTTGCCATTACTGAAACTTGGTGAGATGAAACTCATGACTGGAATACACTGATGGAAGAAAACAAATTATTCAAAAGAAACAGACCTAAGAAAAGACGAGGTGGAGTTACATCCTACAATGCATTCAGAAAGTATTCTGACCCCCTTCACTTTTGTCAGTTTTGTTATGCTGCAGTCTGCTTCTACAGTTGTTGAAATTCATTTTTCCCATTAATCTACACTTAGTACCCCATAATTACAAAATGAAAACAACATTTTATAAATGTCTAGAACATGATAGCAGTATTCCAATATTTGAGGGGCTGCCACAAAGGAGAAGGGGTCAACTTATTTTCCAATGCACCAGAAGGCAAGACAAGAAACAATGGATGGAAAGTAATCAAGGAGAGAAAGAACCTGAAATTAAGAAATTTCCTAACAGTGAGAACAATTAACCAGTGGAACAGCATGCCTTCAGAAGTTGTGGATGCTTTATCACTGGAGGTTTTTAAGAAGAGACTGGACAGTCACTTGTCTGAAATGGTATAGGGCTGTGATGGCAAACCTATGGCACGTGTGCCACAGGTGGCACACAAAGCCATATCGGTAGGCACACGAGCTTGATTTTCGGGCCTTCTGGGCCCACCGGAAGTAGGGAAACAGGTTGTTTTCTGGCTCTGGGGGTGGGGAAGGCCCGTTTTTCTCTCTGCCCAGGCTCCAGAGGCTTTCTAGGAGCTTGGGGAGGGCAAAAACGGCCTCCCTCCCCAGAGGCCGGAAACGGCCCACTTCCATGCCAAACAAATCTTATTTCATTCTTTGACAAAGTGACTAACTTAGTGGACCAGCGAAATGCCATTGGACATTGTATACTTAGATTACAGTAACACATTTGACAAAGTAGACCACAACCTACTTCTTGTCAAGCTAGAAAAGTGTGGGATAGACAGCATCACCACACATGGATTTGTAACTGGCTGACAAACCACACTCAACGTGTAGTCCTTAATGAAATTACATCTACATGGAAGTAAAACAGGGAAAAACGGGATGCTCGGAGGGTTTGGGAGGCCTGCAGAGTGCTCCTGGAGGCCAGGGAGTGCAAAAACTTTTTCTTGTTTACCTCTTCCAAATCTTAGTGTGTCTTATAGTCTGAAAAAATATGGTAATGAGTGGAACAACCTGCCTCCAGAAGTTGTAAATGCTCCAACACTGGAAGTTTTTAAGAAGAGAGTGGATAACCATTTGTCTGAAGTGATGAAGGGTACCTTGCCTAAGCAGTGGCAAGATACCCTACATATTTTTTTTATTCTATTCTATTTTCCAAGGCATTAGAAGGCAAGACAAGAAACAATGGATGGAAACTAATCAAGGAGAGAAGCAACTTACAGCTAAGAAGGAATTTCCTAACAGTAAGAAAACAACCAATGGAGTGGCTTGCCTTCAGAAGTTGCATAGCATAAAAAGACAAAATAAGGCCCCAATGCTTGAAGGAAGTTTTTTGCACATATTTGGAGGGTCTTATCATCATTCTGGCTCCTTTTGAGGGAGGAATACTTCAGTCTGCAGCTCTTTTCACGCACACTATGGTGATACGTATGTGACAATTTTCACATACTGTAATCAAAGGCCTTCGACAGAAAAAAAAGTTTTGAAGCTTCTGCTTGAGTGATACTGCTTGACTCGGGTCTCAGTTCTACACAATGGATACAAATCAGATTATTTCTTGGTATCTTCACATCCCAGAGACTGTTCCCCTTCTGATTGTGGTCAAAAGGGTGTCAGGTTTCGATGACAGGATTTAAATAGTTTCCTGAAATATTTTTCTTAAGTTCACATTATTTTATTGTAACCCCTACTGATTTCCAAAGGTCTTCCTTCTTATTTGATTATTTGCAATTATCAGCACAATCGAGTTATTTTTATTCTCATTCTCCTGAATATCCTCAACTTGGGACAAAGAGGAGGGAGGGAGGGAGGGAGGAAGGAAAATCTACAAGCAATTTAAAGCATAAATCCTCTTAGTTGTCATTTTTTAATTCAGTATCACAATCAACTGAACAAATGAATCTCTCTGCATACTTTGATGGAACTTACGTTCCCTTTTGAGTATAAGATTCTTTCAGACCTCAGAATATCTGCTGTGCTATTTCTATTTTTTTTCCCAGTGGAAAGAGAATTTAGAGCCATCTGACAAAATGAATATATTAAGAAACAAGCAAGGGAGGGGAAAACAATTGTAAGACTAGGCAAAAAGAGGGAAAAATTAAATTATGGGGAGCAATATTGGATCAATTGAATTTTTATCTCCATCTGTGCTATAGTGGAAAAAAGATGAACAAATTTGTCCTGAAGAGATACACCTTCTCCTGCCTGGGGAAGCAGCAATTGTTAAATATCTGCCTGGTCACATCCCTCACGGAATCAAGATCAATTAAAAATGGATGAAAATACACTTCAGAAAAAAAGATTTTCATTATTAAGTATAGTAGCATTTGCCATCTTCAAATTAAAGTATCTTCAAAAATCTGCTGTTTATAATTAAGTGCCTGTTGTTTTTGTTTCATTGGTAAGTTCATCTCTCTGGAGCTGCCAAATATACGGTCTGACTCCTTTCCTAAATCAGTATACACAAAAACGAAAGGCATAGATTTAACTAACAAAGCCTATGATTTTATCCATGTATTGTCCACCAAATTTATCTGTTTACGGCAAAAGTAGGTCATTACTCCTGAAGCTCTTTCCAAGTTCCTCAGTTTTATATGGTTTCTCTTCTGTATGAATCCTTTTATGAGACGTAAGGGAACCGTTATGAGTGAAGGTCTTTCCACACTCCAAACATTTGTATGGCTTTTCCCCCGTGTGGATTCTTTTATGTGAATTAAGATGACTGCTATTAGTAAAGCCCTTCCCACATTCCACACATTTATACGGCTTCTCCCCTGTGTGGATCCAGTTATGGGAACTAAGTTGACTGCTATGAGTAAAGGTCTTTCCACACTCTCTACATTTATATGGCTTCTCCCCTGTATGGATCCTTTTATGTTTCATAAGGGATGAATTTTCACCAAAACTCTTTCCACATTCCGTGCATTTATATGGTTTCTCCCCTGTGTGGATCCTTTTATGTACAGTAAGAGGCCCGTTTTCGCAAAAGCTCTTTCCACATTCTTGGCATTTATATGGTCTCTCTCCTGTGTGGATCCTTTTATGGGAAGTGAGATGACTGCTGTTGGTAAAACCCTTTCCACACTGCTCACATTTATATGGCCTCTCCCCTGTGTGGATCCTTTTATGGCAAGTAAGCTGATTGCTGTGAGTAAACGTCTTTCCACACTCTTTGCATATATAGGGCCTCTCCCCTGTGTGGATCCTTTTATGTTTTATAAGCGATGCATTTTCACAGAACCCCTTCCCACAGTCCATGCATTTATACGGCTTCTCCCCTGTATGGATCCTCTTATGCGAATTAAGATTACCCTTCTGGGTAAAGGTCTTTCCACACTCTGTGCACGTATATGGTTTCTTCCCCGTGTGGATCCATTTATGGGAAGTAACTTGACTGCTTCTTCTGAAGCTCTTTCCACATTCCAAGCATTTATACGGCTTCTCTTCTGTCTGGATCATTTTATGAGATGTAAGGGACGCATTTTCAGGAGAAGCAGTGGAAGTTGAATTGTAATGTTTCCAACTGTCTCTGCATATATACTCTTCTTTTTGGCTTTCGTTTGGATAGTATTCATTTACATCTAATTTGACTTGGAACAATTTTACACCGTTTCCAATATATTTTTTCTCTATTTCTCCTTGTTGGCCAAGAAAATCTTGCATTGGAGCATCAGTGAAAGACGAGCTTTCTTGTTTCCAATCTCTTGACTGTTTTGTCTCATGATGTTCAAGTTCCATTTTAATCGCAGGTTTCTCTATTCCATTCCCAGGATTGGTTGCTTGGAATGGTTCTCTGGAATCTTTATTTTCCTGCCCATTATTACCTTCAATGGAAAAGAGAAATGAAAGCGACAGCAAGATTAGGGGAAAAAAATCAAAGTGTATAAAGCCATATTAATTTCCTTCTCTGCATCATCAGGAGCAGGGCAGATTTTTTTTTCCCTTCTCCCACCCAGGACATGACATCTGGATGGGGTTTTTTAAAAAAAGAAATAGCTGATGTTATCTAATTAAACAATGTCTTCCTAAACACTGATTGGGGAGTACCTAACGCTTACCCAGAGAGACCACATTCCTATGGTTTTCCAGCATGACTTCCCAATGCAGCTCTTTTTGGTGAGGGTCCAATTGAGACCACTCCTCTTCAGAGAAATACACAGCTACCTCTTCAAAGGACACAGGACCCTCCTGAACAAGGAAAAAAATTAAAAAGAACAAAACAGACCTGGGAGGATTTGGAAGACCTCTGTTATTATTTAGAAATTGCCAAAGCAAAGATAGCAAAAGGTTTTATCAACATTCATTTATTTTTCACATTTCTGAACTGGCCATCCACATGATTCTGTGGTATTCTTAATGTCATTCAGCGAAACTAGCCCGTTTCTTTTTGGATTGAATTATCTATGTCTTTGTGGATGTCTGTCTAATTATCTACTGTATGTATATCCATCGTCAGATGTTACATCTTTTCTATCCTGCTCTACGGAGTAGAGAGTTGGTCTCTGACAAAAAACCATTTGAAGAAACTAGAAGCATTTGAAATGTGGATTTACAGATGGCTGTTACATATAAACTGGGTTAACAAAATCACAAATAAGGTGGTGATAGCAAAGGGAAAGCAAAGGGAAATCATCAAATCCATTAAAAAGCAAAAGTTAGAATATTTTGGACATGTGATGCGACACCCAGAAAAATTCAGCATCCTTCACTTAATCCCAGGGGTGAAATTAAAAAATTTCCCCTACTGATTCTGAGGGCGTGGCTTGTTGGGGGAGGTCATGTGACTGGGTGGGCATGGTCAACTCAACATCACTCACATAGAGGGGTTCCTCACCGGCCCCTCCCCTCCCAGCCCCTCCTTGTCACGAATGGCAGGAAAATGGGGAGGGGAATATTCCTGCCTACCATCCTTCTCTCAGTCTGTGCTGAGATTGAGGAATGGATGACAGGCAAGAAAATCCCTTTCCCCATTTTCCTGCCTTTCACAAAAACGGCTCCTTCCCTCCTGGGGACTACTTTAAAAGGGACAGGCTGCAGCAGCTCCATTGTGAATGGAGGGAGAAAAGTTAGCTGTATTTAACATTGAATTCTGTGGCAGAGAGAATGCTAACTTTTCTCCCACCATTCAGAATGGATGGTGTTCCCTTTATGGTTCCCTCCTGGCCCCCTCCCTCCTGGGGACTACCTTAAAGGGACAAGCTGAAGCAGCTCCGTTCTGAATGGAGGGAGAAAAGTTAGTGTTCTCTCTGCTGCATTTAACATTGAATTCTGTGGAATATCGAGCAGCCGGAAGAGATGAGCGATGACTGGCTGGTTGGGTGGGGCCAAGGAGAGGTAATTACTACCGGTTCGGCGAACTGATGCCCATAATCCCTAGAGGTTCGCCCAAACCGGTAGCATTTGACCCCTGCTTAATCCTCCAAGAAAAGATTGAAGGCAAACAAGGTCCAGGCAGAAGAACATCATGGCTTCAAAACATAAAGGACTGGTTTGGACAAAACTCAGCAGCACTTTTTCATGCGGCTGTTGACAAAAATAGGATCGCCAACGTCTGATGACAGACATGACACAAGAAGATGATGATGCAACCACCATCAAAGACTCAGCATGTGGACAGAATCAACTTGCAGATCTTGGTGACTCCAATCCTTCCTGTGTTTGCAGAAGGAAACGAGAGGGAAACATTCTTTCTAACATTTCAGCAAATAGCTTTTGCTGTCCTCTGAAGGACCAGTCTGAGTGATTGACTGAACAGGAGAGAACAGGAGAAAATTCTCTGGGTTGGACATTTCTCACCTTTTGAAAAGCTTTCAAATGCCTTCAAATCCAGGCAAAAATCAGAGGGTTAGAAATTAACTTTGCAAGCCACAAGGGCCTTGATAATGTGCTATTTCAGGACAATTTTTACTTAAGAGACTTTTCTATCTGTCTACTTTCTTTAGTTTGTATTAGTTTCTCTTATCTTTTAATCTGATTGGCTTATTTTTCTTGACTGGTTATAAACAAGTCTTTTTAAAAATGGTGATGTGCCAGTGTATTTATTTATGTTGGATCTGCCTTGCCCAATTCCAAATGAAAGAATTGTGAAAAGAATAGTTCTCTTGAAGGGTTTTGGGAAGAATTAATTCTTGAAAATTAGGCAAAATAATTAGCACAAGGAGAGTACTGGTCTTAAAATATGATTTCCTATTAGAAATCATAGAGCCTTGATAGTACAGTGGTCTAAGCACCCTGTTATTAACACAGCTGCCTGCAATTTACTGCTGGTTCGAATCTCTCCAAGGCTCAAGGTTGACTCAGCCTTCCATCCTTTCTAAGGTAGGTGAAATGAGGACCCAGTTTGTGGGGGCAATAAGCTGACTTTGTATAAATATACAAAAGTATGAAGGCTATTGCTTAACGCATTGTAAGCCGCCCTGAGTCTCCAGAGAAGGGCGGCATATAAATCAAATTAAAAAAAAAAAAAAGAAGAGTTACAAATAATCTTGTTTCTTGGTGACAAACACAATAACCCAGTCCAGACAAAAGGAGACTGCTGGGTATATCCGCTTGATTCCTAAGTAAAAGGAATACAAGTCTAATAAATTAATTCCCCAACTTACTTGATTTGGAGGTTCAACCATAGTTTTAGATTCACAATTAGGAGTAAACTTCATTCGATTCCTCTCTGTAAGGGATACAGAATTTTAAAATCAATAATGAAGGGAACATAATTTTTAAAATTATTTTAACATTTTCAAATTGTTTAAAATAAATAATAAAGGGAACATAAATGACTTAGATGAGGGAATAAAAGGAGAACTCATCAAATTTGCACATGACACTAAGCTGGCAGGAATAGCCAACACCCCAGAAGACAACTCCGGATCCAAAAAGATCTTGACAGACTTAAACAATGGATCCTAGCCAACAAAATTAATTAATTAATTAATTAATTAATTAATTGATTGATTGATTGATTAATTAATTAATTAATTAATTAATTAATTAATTAATTTATTCATTCATTCATTCATTCATTCATTCATTCATTCAATTTATATACCGCCCTTCTCCTAGTGGACTCAGGGCGGTGCACAGCCAGAACTAAAATACATAACAATAAAATGAAATTTAATGTGGAGAAAAGCAAGGTTTTACACCTGGGCAGGAAAAACCAAAGGCATAAGTACAGATTAGGCAAAATATGGCTCAAAAACTGTGAGAGGGACCTTGGAAGTCTTAGTGGATGATTAAACATGAGTCAGCTGTGTGCTGCAGCAGCCAATAAAGCTAATACAATCAATCCTTGGTTGTATGAAGGGAGGCATAGAATCAAAATATTAGTATCGCTTTATAAAGTCACTACAGACGGGAGGTTGAACAACTAGCCTTGTGGTGCGACCGGAACAATCTGGAACTGAACACACCCAAAACTGTAGAAATAGTGGTAGACTTTAGGAGAAACCCTTCCATACTTCCACCTCTTACAATACTAGACAACACAGTATCAACAGAAGAGACCTTCAAATTTCTAGGTTCTATCATATCTCAAGACCTAAAATGGACACCTTACATCAAAAACGTCATCAGAAAAGCACAACAGAGAATGTTCTTTTTGTGCCAACTCAGGAAGCTCAAATTTTTCAAGGAGCTGCTGATACAGTTCCATAGAAGAACTATTGAATCTGTCATCTGCACCTCTATAACTGCCTGGTTTGGTTCTGCAACCCAACAAGATAGACACAGACTTCAGAGGATAATTAGCACTGCAGAAAAAAACAATTGCAACCAACCTGCCTTCCACTGAGGATCTGTATACTGCACAAATCAAAAAGAGGGCTGTGAAAATATTTACAGACCCCTCACATCCGGGACATAAATTGTTTCAACTCCTACCCTGAAAACGACGCTATAGGGCACTGCACACCAAGATACAAGAATAGTTTTTTCCCAAATGCCATCACTCTGCTAAACAAATAATTCCCTCAACACTGAGGGAACACTCAACACTGTCAAACTATTCACATTAGGCTGCATTACTATTGCCATTGGTCTTCTCATCATTCCTGTCACCCATCTCCTCCCACTTGTGACTGCATGACTGTAACTTTGTTGCTTGTATCCTTGCGACCTATATTGATATTGATGGTTTCCTAGTATGATTTGATTGCTTATTGCGCCGTATGACTGTCACTGAGTGTTGTGCCTTGTGATTCTTAACGAGTGTATCTTGTCTTTTTATCTACACTGAAAGCATATGCACCAAAGACAAATTCCTTGTGTGTCCAATCACACTTGGCCAATAAAGACTTCTATTCTATTCTATCTATTCTATTCTATTCTATTCTATTCTATTCTATTCTATTCTATTCTATTCACAAAAAAGATGTTGAGACCTTGGAAAAAGTGCAAAGATGATTAAAGGCCTGAAGACTAAAACATATGAAGAACCATTGCAGGATTGGGGTTTGGCTAGTCTAGAGAAAAGAAGGACTAGGGTAGACATGATAGCAGTATTCCAGTATTTGAGAGGCTGCAACAAAGGGGAGAGGGTCAATTTATTTTCCAAAGCACCTGAAAGCAGGACAAGAAACAATGGATGGAAACTAATCAAGGAGAGAAGCAACCTGAAATTGAGAAGAAACTTCCAAACACTGAGGACAATTAACCAGTGGAACAGCTTGCATTCAGACGTTGTGGGTGCTTCATCACTGGAGGCTTTTAAGAAGAGACTGGACAGTCATTTGTCTGAAATGGTATAGGATCTCCTGCTTGAGTAGGAGACTGGACTAGAAGACCTCCAAAGTCCCTTCAAGCTCTATTCTGATTCTGATTCAGAATAATAAAATACACAGAAAAGATGAGACAACAGGGATCTCTTTGGAAAAGAGAAGACCTTCAATTACCTCCTGAGGTGTTCTGACTTGGATCATCTTGAGGAATCCTCCTAAAAAACAGCTCGTGAGGAGGATTTGATGGATTCCTCCTTCCCCCACGGTCTCTGATCTCCACAGCAAAGGACTTGAAATAGGAGGAAGTAAAAAAGAAGAATTAACGGACATCACACAACAGGAACTGAATTCTTGTTCTCTAAACACAACTTCCAATGTACATCAATGAGGTTGAGTAAGAAAGGGTGAGCTATCCCAAATCTATTTTCTAGAATGGACAATAGGATAATATCCTACAAGATCTAATGAAACAACTCCACATATTTTGAATGCCAGAGAGATCAGGGAGGGAGGGGTGAAGAATTCAAGCACACTCTTCAATCCTGTCAAACCCTTCTGAGCTCCCAGGAGAAGAGAAGACCTCCTACCTGCAACTTGACCTGCTCCTTCTGCTCCTCTGCCTGGCTCAGGAGGAAGCCTTCCACCAGGGCCACCGCTTGGGAGCTGGTCTCTGCTCCACACTCCCGTACCCAGCTCTCCATCCGAAAGGGCAAAAGGGCCAGGAATTGCTCCAGAACAATGAGATCCAGCATCTGGGCTTTGGTATGCCTTTCTGGTTTCAGCCATCGCCTACAAAAGTCGTGGAGTCGGCTGCAAAGCCCTCGGGGACCCTCAGCCTGCTGATATTGGATGCTCCTGAAGTTCAAGGGCTGAACTTCTGAACGGACTATGGTTTCTTCCTCCAGGATCTTCCGCCCAGTTCTTGCCCAGATCTGCGGACAGCTCGCAGAAGCACCTTTTCTCTCACCACGGGCTAAAGGTTGTCTCTCCATCCTTTTTCTGTCCCGTAAAGCAACCCCAAGGAATCCAAGGAATCTTGTGGATCTCCAAACACCTTTCATTCACGGGACCGTTTCTGTTGCCGCAGGACTGACCACAGCAGGTTATTCCAACTCTCTTTGCCCAAGATATAATTTTGGATGTAGGGGAAGAGATTACAAGTGGCTTCCAGTTTGGGTATCTGAAATTGCGGGGTGGGAGGATTCAACAACTAGAAATGGAAGAATTTAGCCACTGAACAACCACCACACAACCTGCCCTGAGCTTAAATGGATCAGCAGGAGTCTCTTCCAGCCCCTGGCGCGAATCCTGCCTTGCCCAGCTTCTCTTCTCTCTATGCAAGGATCTGCAAGGCCAATTCTAATCACGGGGCGGGAAGGGCCACCCCAGATCCCCGCCGCCTCCTGGGAATCTCCGGTTCTTCCGGGTGACAAGGCAGCTGCTCCGGAGCTCCAGCCCCGCCTGTTGTTTCCATGGAGAGGGCGGCTGGGGAGCATAGGACCCGGGGTTGAAGCCGGAGGAGGGCCGGGCGCAGGTCTTTCCCTCCTCCGCCTCCCTTTGCACTGGAGGAGCCCCCACCTCACCCGGGGCACGTCTGGATCTCCCCCCGCCAGACTCTCCCGCAGCCTCTCCGCCTCCTGCGGAGCCCCGGGGGTTAAGGAGACCGAATGCGGAGTCCTAGAGCGGCAAGCGTTTGTGATGTCACTCTCTTCGCAGCCTCCTCTGTGATTTTCGCCCTCCAGTGGGCCAATGGGGAATCGCCTGGAGTTCCTTTCTCTTGGCAGAAAACGCCCCCTGGTGGATTTTGCATACATTTACAGGATTCCCTGCAAAGCGCGGGAAAAGAGGAGCTTAGAGATAATGAGCATGGGAGTAGGAGGAAGGTCCCTTTCAATGGTTCCGTCAGACAAAGGTTTTGTCGCCTTCGGAGGCAGCAATTTCTCCCTCTCCTTCCCGTCCGGAATCATCTGTGGAGATGGAGAAAAATTCTCTCTGGAGGATTTGATCTCGCTTCCCTCAAGAACAGCCACTCTAAAGTCTCAGCAGAGATTGGAGAAGGCCTCAAAATGGGCCAACTCCTGTCAGAAACGGACTGGCTGTCAGAAGACGAGGATCAGGAACCTCTTGGAAACCCAGCTTGTGTCTCGCAATTGAAGGGGAGTTAGATGGGATACAGGCAGGAAGGCCACAATGAGGAAAATGATTGTTTTTTTTATTGATTTGTCTTTTATTTCTTTAATTCAATACATACAGGTGCCTTTCCCAAATTATTCACTCAGCCTCCCAGCGAAGGGAGGACCAGAAAGACCAGACAACCCTCCAGCCTCTTCTGATGAAAGAAAAGAAAGATTGCCTTCCACTGAGCCAATAGGGAAGCACCTGAAGTTCCCTTTTCTTGGCGGAGAATGCCCCTTGGTGGATTTGGTGCAAAGTGCCAGGATTCTAGAAAGGACGGGAAAGAGGAGCCCGTCTGAGGGAGAGGGCAGGGATGATGGGCATGGGAGTAGGGGAAAAGTAGCCTCTCAATGGCTCCCTGTCACAGTCACCCTGCACAAAGAGAAAAAAGACCAGTTCCAAAATGAAGGAAAAGCTGAAACCCATGGATATTCCAGAAATTTTACCTCATAATCAGGTTCTTTAGTTGAGAAATGAAGAGGGGAAATGGTGTTTCATCTCTGACTGGAGAAAATGTGGAATTGCAAAATGAAGACAGGAAGATTGTAAAAAAGGAATATAAATCTAAACTATGATGGGGAATTTTTTTTTTACATAAGGATTGTGTAGGAAATTCAAGAGATGTGACTAGGAAGCCTAAGCCCTTTGGAGAATTTAAGGCAGGGATATATCAATAAACCATAAATGAAAAGAGAAAATGAAGATTCGAGCACATTTGGTATCGACACACAAAGACACATAGTAAATGAAAAAAAGAATTTAAAATGATAGAAAAAGCGGTTAAAATCAATTTAAAAAGAATGGAGGAAACCTTTGGGGTTTTTTGTATCTATTTCTTTTTTTCTGCGGTTTGACACAGAAAGTTTAATAAAGTTTAATAATCCATATTTTGAAAAATAGCTTCAACCCATCAGGAGCTGAAATATGCACACACACCCAGGGTGTCCAAACACTTTAGTGTGTTAGTAATGCAATGAAAAGAAACAGAATTTTATGCATGTTTAGCTAGTAACCACACCACCGATAAATAATTTTGTTTAAGTTAGCGTTATACCGTTTCCTAGATTCTGGCACACCGTAAAGACAAAAATATGGCACTAATGGTGGAAAAATATCTTTTGCCCCATGCAGTTTGTTCATTTTGGCCCCTTCTTTGAAAGATGAATTGTTCACCCTGAAGCTTTTTGCACACACTCTGCATTGACACCTGTCATTATTCCATCACAACAGGTCTTGGACCAAAAAAGATTCCCTACTTCTGCATTCATATTGACTGACTCAGATCTTAAATTTGACACAGCAGACAGAAGTTGGATTAGTGCCCTCTGAGATTGGCTGGTGTACGGATGTTCCCATTTCATTGAGTAATGTCTGCAACAAAACAATCAAACTCAGAGAGCACCAAGGATCCCTCATGAGCTACACGTTCTCATTTATTGGCAGTTTGGATTATTTTTGGTAACTTCACATTCCAAAGAAAACTCCCATTCGCATTTCTGCGTGTTTCATCAGAAAGGACTGAAGTTGTTTTTTGAACTAGTTCTTAATTTCACGTGACCAGTGGTGGGTTGCCTCGTTTGGACCGGTTCGCAAGAACCGGTAGTAAAACCAGTGGGAGGACCTGCCCACCGCCCCGGATGTCATCATCAGCAATCTGTGCATGTGCATGATCCTGTTGCGAACCGGTGGTAAAGGTAAGTAGAACCCACCCCTGCACGTGACTTCATTGATTTTCAAAGGTCTTCCTTTTGATTGATCATTTGCAATATTAGCACACTGGAGTGGTTTTCATTCTGATTCCCTGGAATACGCCTAATTAGGGAGGGGGGGGATTCAGAAACATCATTCGTTGACATTGTAACTTCAAATGTTTGCATAAAAATTATTGTAAATCAATGACTAACTTGATTGACCAGTAGGCTGCCTAGCTATGGGAACTTAATATGCTGCCAGATCCCTGTAAGTGATACTGTCATTCAGTTGGGAGAAGAGGGGGGTTGGATTCAATTTATTAGCATTGCCTGTATCAACAGATATTTTACAATACAACCTATATCCTGGCGCCAAAGCACCCTGAGATCCCCTTAACTTTGGGGAATATTTATGATGTCCATGTGGGTTATTTCACTTTAAAGGATAATGGAGGATAACGATGGGAATACATGCTTATCCGATTCTCAGGGCATCTGGAAAACATCTTCACACTTGTGTATTGGCTAAAATTTGCATTCTGGCTAAAGGGAGGGGTTTCTACGGCTTTGAATCCATTGCTGTCACTTCTGCTTAATAAAAGGTTCCTTTTGAAATACTCCATTTCAAGAGTTTTTACTTTCTTAAATTGGAAGGAGAGGCAGTCCTTACAAAAGCATCCACAATTCCCTACCACTGCTTTCTCTTAATAAAACTACTTGTCAGGGTTCCGCGTAATGCTGCCAACCAATTCAAGATTCTTGAGGCCTTGACTTCCTCAAAAATCCAGTTTATTGGGTACATCATATAGGCACGGTCAAAGGTCAAACCAACATTGAATAATTCCCGCATTTTTGGTATAAGTAAAGAATGGATACTGTCTACCCCCCTCGTATCACAGGTCATATTAGCTAACCGAGCCGATTTCCAGGGTAATAATTTAAGAGTTGACCAGCTGCTATGATGAGATAATGATGCAGTGATGCACTGATGTAACGAGTCAGCAAGGTTTTTGGCTGTTATCACTTTAAGAGCCTGTATAAGAAGTGGCCGAGTGTATCTGTCTCTCCCACCCCCATACTCCACCCACCCACCATGTGCATCCAACTCACCTCCATGCATGCGCACGCGACTCCCACCCCCATTTTGGGCCTAGTGGTGCGTGGTGGAGCTGAGCTGGGCAACAGCTCGCGTGCCCGCAGGGAGGGCTCTGTCTGTGAGATGTGGCACGCATGCCATAGGTTCGCTATCACGTGTATATAATCTTTTGTAGATAAAACCACTATTTCTAACAAACCTCTGTTGGCTGTTATTGCTCCTGGATTGTCTCACGTAGTAAAGCTGGGCACACTTTGACAGGTTGTGGGCCCAGTCCAGAGAAGCCCAGAGTGACTAGAAAGATCAGAGGGAAGAGAAACCCAGTTGGAGCTTGCTCCAGAATCAGAGGGGCTGTGTATCATGGCTTGTTAATGCTTTTAATGAAAACAAGCAACATGGCTTCTGTTAGTGTAATGCGAGGTTTTGTGGTGTCTTGGCTGAATGAGACAAACTACCTCTCCTGGTGTTAAAGATGGAAATGTACCTGCGAGAGGAGGAATTGCGGATGATAGTTACTGATCCACCTTCTCCCCTATTAAAGATTATCTCAAAGATTATCTCTTTGAACAAAGGTCTTTCCACACTCCATGCATTTCTATGTCTTCTCCCCTGTGTGGATCTTTTTATGGGAAGCAAGATACCTGCATTGAGCAAAAATATTTCCACACTCCATGCATTTATATGGTTTCTCTCCTGTGTGTATCATTTTATGTCTTCTGAGTCCACTGCTATGAAAAAAGGTCTTTTCACATTCCATGCATTTAAATGGCTTCTCTCGTGTGGATTTTTTTGTGGCAACTAAGATTACTGCTCTGAGCAAAGGTCTTTCCACACTCAATGCATTTATACGGATTCTCCCGTGTGGGTCTTTTTGTGGCTTCCAAGTCCACTGCTCTGAGCAAAGGTCTTTCCACAGTCCATGCATTTATATGGTTTCTCTCCTGTGTGGATCTTTTTGTGGATAGTAAGTTCATAGCTATCAGCAAAGGTTTTCCCACACTCCATGCATTTATATGGTTTCTCCCCTGTGTGGATTCTCCTATGGCGAATAAGATGACCTCTTTGAGCAAAAGTCTTTTCACACTCCATGCATTTATATGGCTTTTCTCCTGTGTGGATCATCTTATGGGAAATAAGAGTACTTCTTTGAGCAAAGGTCTTTCCACACTCCATGCATTTATATGGTTTCTCTCCTGTGTGGATCTGTTTGTGGATAGTAAGTTCATAGCTATCAGCAAAGGTTTTCCCACACGCCATGCATTTATATGGTTTCTCCCCTGTGTGGATCCTCTTATGGCGAATAAGATGACCTCTTTGAGCAAAAGTCTTTCCACACTCCATGCATTTAAATGGCTTTTCCCCTGTGTGGATTATTTTGTGGATAGTAAGTCTGCTGCGACGAGCAAAGGTCTTTCCACACTCCATGCATTTAAATGGCTTCTCCAATGTGTGGATCATCTTATGGGAAAAAAGAGCACTTCTTTGAGCAAAGGTCTTTCCACACTCCATGCATTTATATGGTTTCTCTCCTGTGTGGATTATTTTGTGGTTTCTGAGTCCACTGCTATGAGCAAAGGTCTTTCCACATTCCGTGCATTTAAATGGCTTCTCCCCTGTGTGGATCTTTTTGTGGGAAATAAGATTAGGTCTTCGAGTAAAGGTCTTTCCACACTCCATGCATTTATATGGTTTCTCCCCCGTGTGGATCCTC